GAAATTGATATCATAAATTTTGTGCTCCTAGTTCAGCTTTCGTCACTCGAAAAATTTACCTCAAAGAGGTGTTTATTTGATTTTTGATTTCAGCAAGTAAATTTAAGTATCGTTATAATTCGTTCAAAAAGCTCTATCGATTCCTACATTTAGTTTTCTTCTAGCGAAGCGGTGAGTATTCTTCAGTAGTTCCGAAAATTCTTAAGATTTTATAGTACCTGTAAATTCCCTTTTCCTCATTTAATCCGGATGTTTCTGCTCTAAAACATCTGCTAACAGCAGCCACTTTAATAGGAAGGATTTCTTGGTTAAAAATCTCACCCGAAAATAAACCGGCCAAAGCCATCTCGGAAGTTCCGGACAAACACTCCCCTGTAATAATTTTATAAACTTGAGTCCGGTCACCATCCGTATGCATACCACAACCGTTTATAATATATTTAGGTAATATATCGGGTACAGATATTAAACGAAAATCTTTCTTTTTAATGTATTTGATAGTATAACGAATTAGTGCTTGTTCTAATCCAGCGAGATCTCCCATTAGATAGTAGCTCTTGTGCCCATTGTAATGTCCCAGATGTTCCGTCCTTAAAAAGTTCAAATATTTACAAACAACTGAAAACTCTTCTGCTTTAGGAAAACGTGAAAGCTCTACGTATATTTCACACGGTTCATCGCCATATTTCATCAATCGGCTATGTGTGTTGTTTGGTAATTTCGCAATTTCTATTTCTATCTTCTTCTTAATACTGCGATCCTCTGGGTGTTTATGTAATTCTCCAAGCAGAGATCTTATCAAAGGCACATTATTGCAATGTTTTCTTAGTAATATATTCTCTTCGGCAATTTTAAGATATTCCCAATTTAAATCAAGTATGGAAGTTGCCAATTGTCTCAACCCGACATTGTTATTCCGCCCACATAACTTGGCGTTAAAAACTTCCAAACATCCAAGTAAGCGTGGCTGACTAAGCAAATGTCTTAAAGTACCCATTTAAAACCGAAGAGTAGACATAGACTTGTCAAATTGCCTTTATTATCATGCACACTATTTGATTTAGAAAAGTTTACGCGATTGTAGATAGCGCGAAAATATCGTTTCATTTCAATCATACGGATAAACAATAAAGTTGGAGACACAAATGGTAGAGCTGCAAATATATCGATGTCAGTATCGATATATCGAGTAATTGTTTTTTTTTTTTGCAGACATCGATATTTTTTCGATATCGAGTATGGCTTAGCCATTTTCTCATTACTTATTTTTGCGCCAAACAACATCGGTGACTGTTTTATACCATGTTCTGACCGACATCGAAAACATGTTTTCGTTGCTAAAACTGGTTTTCGCCTTAAAACTTGTGTTTTCGTCCATGTAAAATCTGTCAAACGAAAACCAGTTTTCGCTGAAAACTACTTGAAAACTCACGTTACTCTCATTCCAATCGGTGTCTTCCCTAGTTTTTTTCGATTATTTATCGAAGTGGAAGTCATATTTTTAGTTAATTGGCTGGCAAAAGTAAAAAATTAATGAAAGTAAGAGGTTGCTAATGAAAAGAAAATGAGGGAAAAGCATTTGGGTTTTGTTTTTGTGTAGCAAAACTGTAATCAGAGGATGTAAGAAATGTCAACGAAAACACTAACAGCCGGTGTGAACAGCCTTCAACCCACAATCACAAAACACGTTTTCAAAGTGTTTTCGTTGTCGGTCCGAACATGGTATTAATAGACTACAAATCTACATATAAATTTTTTTAATAGAAATTCTTATTATAAAGTTTGCAATCTTTAAGAAACTTTTTTGATTTTTTTCTAATTTTTGCACAAATTTTGCAATTTAGGTTTATATGGTTTTTGTTAGAGATTGAGCTATACTTTTATAAAAAAGTAATGAAAAAAATATAGAAGGAAAAATCATTGCGAATACTGTGATAATATCACTGTGTGATTTTGAGTGTGGGCCACTGTTCATACACACATATCTGTGTTCGTATGGAAAAGTAGCTTATGTTGTGACAAAACGTCCACCTATAACTTATCGTAGTCATATTTAAAGTGTAAACACATCGTAAGCTTTGTTAATTTATGTAAAGTTTTTGTGAACTCTACGCAGTTGGCAACTCTTGTAAGACATTCGACCTTTATGTTCGACATTTGCCTTTATTTAAGTTGTTCGTCATTTTGATTTATTAGAGTCGTGAATGTTCAAGAGGAAAGGCGCAAACTGCGGTGAGTATTATTAATCTGATTTATGTATATGAAAACCACTGCTCATTGTTAACTGTATTTCATTATCATAGAAATAAACGCACTCGTACCCGTCGTCATGCCATTGTAACCAAAGAGGCGTTTTATTTCTTTAGCCTACTCACGACTCGACACCTTTATTTCGCAGTTTCGATCACTGGAACTTGCGAACTGCAGCCGAGCCGACGCTGCACATTGCCAAAAGAAAATAAGTTAAATGCCATGTGAACGCTCCCCCACCCGGCGAGACGCACCACCCAGACGCAGCCCACGCCTACAACAAGGATTAATCACACCGCCAGTAAAAACGTCTGCCACGATGATCACGTCCAACACAACATGCCCAAACACTTCCGGAACATCCGCTCTGTCCACCACCTCAGCCGCCGCCAGTACATCTGCAAGTGGGACCGTTTTTAGTGGACCAAATGGAAGCTCCAAAACCACATCTGCCGTTGCGACGTCCCTTGCAAATGTCACCGTAGGAAGCAGCGCAGCAATCAGTGCCGCCAGCAACACATCAGGTAACACCGCCACCGCTGCAAATGCCACAGCAGCATCGCGTAATATTAGTACTGCACAACAGCTTAGTTATTTATTCGAAAAAATTAAAGAGTTGCAACACCAGTTACGGGACACTCAAGCGCAGTTAAATGATAGCAACAACAAACGGCAAGCTTTAGAAGAACGGTTCATTTCTAATGAGTCGTCGACAGCGCAGTCGACGTCGAGCGGCGCTAGCAGTAGGGTTAATAGCGGTGCTTTGCAACTGCCGCTCGATGTCACCGACAATTCTATAAGGTCAGCGAGTGCAAATGTACATCCGTTTATAATGCCACCACCCGTTACCTTTCCTGCTGACGTCAATAACTTTCAAGCAGCCACAATAACAAATGCACAAGTGAACCAATCGCTAGGTATGCCTATTAATTATGCCGTGCCGCGAAAAATTCAGGATTTACCAGAATTTAGTGGGCTACCTGAAGACTGGCCGCTGTTTTATAATGCTTTTACTAATTCAACGGCCGCGTATGGTTACAGCAATTTGGAGAATAACCAACGTCTCCTAAAAAGCCTAAAAGGCGAAGCTAGGGAAATTGTTAAATCACTCCTTATTCATCCAGAAAACGTACACGCTGCAATAGAACAGCTAAAGTTTCGTTTTGGTAGACCCGAATTGTTGATTCGAAGTCAGTTACGTCAGGTTAAAAATATTTCACTCATTTCAGAATCCGCGATTGAAAAACTCATCCCATTTGCAACGAAAACCAAAAATTTAGCTACATTTTTACAATCCGTTAACNATGGAGAACACCATCTGGCGAATCCTACACTGCTTGAAGAGTTAGTAGGCAAACTCCCTACAAGCAAGAAGATGGAATGGGCTAGATACGCTGCTACTGTAACACCATACCCGACAGTTGTAGACTTTAGCAACTGGTTAAGCGGTGTCGCGAATTTGGTATGCACTGTTCATGATACAGAGGCCCGTCGACGAGTCGTACTGTATGCAAACGACAATAAAGACTACGGGCGACAGAACCACGGAGTCGGGAGGAATAGCTACAACAAGTGTCCACTTTGTATGGGGGAGCATAAAATTAGT